GGAAATTTACAAAATATCTTCATGGAACATGATCTTTACTTAATATCCTAATGATTTTTGGCATAAAAGAAAAATCAATAATTCTGACCCATACAATGTATTTTGGGCTATTGCTACAAATATACCCCAGCGACTTAAGACTGCTTTTGTGCTCCAGGGTCACATATGTCTCCCACAATCTCTACCGGTTGACATGTATATGCTGGAAGTCATGTAGCACTTCATCCACAGCTCCATTCTCACCTGCTGCCGAACACGTCTGCGCTTGTCTTCTGCTCCTTCTTTTCACCACCACTTTCAGAGGGAACTTGGTCTTGACGTCCTGCAGAGGGGCCTGGCAGCGGGTCGACACGTCCTGGGGCCGCTCTAGATCCCTCTTCAGCCTCTTCAGGCTCTGCAGGCGGCAGGGGATCGTCAGGATTCACACCGCGGTGATGCAAGCACTGAGGACGCAAGCCAAGAAAAGATCAATGAGAGCCACTGCAGAGACACACGGATTTCACAGCCAGTGTCACACACCTGAATCACTGTATTACTGAAGGACAGAGAGAGGAGATGTGAGGGTGAATAAACACTAGTACTTACAGTATCTGTAAGATCTGGGCTCAGCAAGGATGCACTAACTTCTTCAAAGGTGACATTAAAGACATTTATAATGTTACAAAGATTTCTATTTCTGTTATATATGCTGTTCTATTGAACTTCCTATTCATCAAAGAATCAAGTTTCAACAAAAATATGAAGCCGCACAACTGTATCAACACTGATAAGAATAGAAATGTTTCTTGAGTAGCTGATTTACTGCTCAATTATTATTGATGCTCAGTTATTAATAATGTTTCTTACTATTATCAATGTTTTTGCTGCTTAATATTTTGTGGAAACTTTTTTCAGGATTCTCTGATGAATAGAAAGTTCAAAAGAAAAGCTTTTTTAAAAATAGAATTTTTGATCAATTTAATGCATATTTGCTAAATAAAAGCATTAATTTTTATTAAAAACGCATACCCCAAACTTTTGAATGGGAGTACATCATGGTGTCTGCGTAATATATTGAGCTGTTTTCAACATTGATAATAATCAGAAATGTTTCTCGAGCAGAAAATCAGCATATTAGAATGATTTCTGAAGATCATGTGACACTGAAGACTGGA